CAAAAATTCAGCTTTACAATAAAATTATATATTTTTAAAATGATTTCGGACAAGTGATCGCCGTAGCTGACTCGAATAAATTCCAGCCATGGCGCCTAGTTTTTGACTACTATTTGGGTGTCGAATATTATCTTCCAAGACGTGATTATCTGCGTAGACAAGCGACTTCACATAAACCTATAAAAAGTAGACCATCGGACCTTGCTGGAGATCACTAGGAGGAATCTTAAGGTCATCAAAAGTTTCCTTCCATAAATGGATTGCTTAGTTGGTTGTATTTACCGCCGTCTTGTTAGAAGGTCGTCCACATCAGCATCCTTCAATTTGGGTATGTAAAAGTTATTAATCAAGCCTTCATAGCCGGCTACAGTTTTGAAGAAATTTTGTTCCCGCTGCTCATAGAGTAAACCAAAAAGTGGATTTGCGGATCTTCTCCGATACTGTGCACAGCAGCAATAGCATCTTCGATGTGCACTGTTCGGCATCTCTGTGGATGCACAATATTCACTACAGTAGACATAATGTGAAATTGATACATGGTTGCTTGAATTACCAACTCTGCTAGGTGGTTATGTCTCCCGATTAATGGACGCTGCGCGCGGAGAGTCCTACGAAACGCACTATTATTTTGCTAAAAATTTGCTCGTTTTGCAAAAGTTGTTCTGTAGTAAGTCTTATCATTATAAAATGGCAAGCCAAACTGAATATAAATTAAGTAACAACAATCATACCACCAAAACAAACAAGTAAAAAATTACTTGTCTAAAAAATCACCCTTTTCAAAGTACAAATATAATATTTTCTTTCACATTTACACATATACATTACAGAAGTTCAAATTACATCAATAAAATGTGTATTAGAAATACCGTTAGTTGGAGAAATTAAACGAAAAATTGCATATTCTTTACAAATTCTTACATTTTTTTTGTCAAAAAAAAAGTCCCACGACACATTTGCAGATGGAGAAATTTTCAGCAATTTCATTTTCCATTATTTTTAAATTATTTTTATTTTACTGATTCTCTTTTGTTTTCATAATATTTTTATTTTTTATTTATTTCCAATTCTTTTATTTAATTTTTTTGTAAGCTTTTTTTAATGCTTCTTTCCTTCGCTATTCTGCAGAGTTTAGCGCTGATTTAAATTGTTTTAATTTTTTTTTTTGGTAAGCTTTATCTCAAGCTCAAATAAATATTTTGGTTATACAAAAAAAGTTTTGTTGCAAATCATAATTTCCACGCCATTGTGATGGTAAATTTTTTTGGTAGCAACAAGATGTTGTATTCGTTAGTGCTGAAAAGATAATTTGATGGTGTGAGTTGACGCTGGACAGGGGTAAATGAGCAAACAAATGCGGAAAATACATTGGAGTACTGTTCTTCACATAAGAATAATTATAACAATAATAAAAATAATAATAATAATAATAATAATAATATTAATAATAATAATAATTTGGCTTGTTAATAAGAATTTTAAAAAATAGCAAAGTAATATTATTAGTTAAATTTGATATTTTTGATTAAAGAATAAATTTTTCTTTTTATTCTTAATTTTTATTTAATTCATTTTTTTTTGTTTTTTTTTTTTTATCTCTTTAAAGCTCGAGTCGGTCTGCCAAATACCTCTTTATTGCTCATCAAAAGCAGCTTAAGACTTATTTTATATAATTTTACTTAATAATATCGATGGGAAACAATCTAATATCCTATAAACAACTGACTGTTCACAGCTGAAACGTCGCTTGAGCGGCGACGGAAGCAAAAGACTTAGGTTTGTCAATCAAGTTTCCATTAGTCCATTTCGTACGTATGTATGTATTAAATATATCAAACGAAAAAAAAAAACGCAAGCTCTTTTTTTCTCGCAGAGTTTTGAAACTCTATCGCACTTCATCGAGTCCATTAAACCTCATCACGACAGCACGACAGAATACAAACAACACTTGCAAAGGTCGGATGAGGTAATAAAAGCATAAAATCTGCAGTCAACAATTTGCCACGTCGGCACCCACACAAAACAGCTCACGGAGTCCGACGTGCTTGCGGACGGACCATATGAGCCGGTAAAGCACGGCATTTGTTGTTGTTGTTGTGGATGTCAACACTTGATTTTGTGCTTGCAATTTTTATTGTTGCATTTCGTGCTTTCAATGCTTTCACTCGAATGTTAAGCTCGGCAAAAAGGACCTTTACCCGGTTATTTGTCCTTTCACCTCTCAACTCTCAACCGACCTTTAGCCATACGGTCTTTACTTTTCAGCTACAGCACATGTTGCCTGCCACAAAATGAAAATTTGCCGAGAAGTTAGTGAATGGGTGAAAATGTGAAAGAAAAATGGCAAGAAGTTGGCAACGAAGGACCAAACTGACTAAAAGCTACACACACACAAGCACACAAGGCCAATATGTATATGTGTGTTGAAAAAAGGAAAGTAAATTGCGGGTGTTGTTGCCACAAATACCTTGCCTGGGCCATTTTTGACTTGAAGTTTGTTTGCCTTGCAACTTTGGATGTATGTGTGTGTATGTTTGTTTTTTTACTTGCATGGAGTAGTGTATACAATATCCATATATCACATGGATAAGCGCATTGCAGCAAACGTCGTCATAGTTGGCACACACGCACACACCCAAGTGTGTAAACAATAACAACAACTACACACCCCCATATCATGGTGGATGGCCCTCCGACGGATCTCCACTATCTGCTTTTCTATGAGTGTTGTTGTTCCTCTTCTTAAACTCTTGCAACCTGTGACAAGCGCCAGCTCACCTTCGCTTCAAGGTGCTGGTGGAGCATGTGTTATCAGATCTGTGTCATCGATGTTCTGGCACAATGGAAAAACGGAGATAAATTGTCGCATCCAAGCAATTCTCAATTCCACATGCCCATTGATGGAAGCTTATGCATGCTCCTTGAGCGACTATGGCGGAGAATGGGATTGGGTGATTCATTGTGTGAGATTGGACTTGAGCCCAACCCAAAACAGCTACAAAGATATCTACGATCTCTTCGAAGGAGGTTGAAGTATTGTAGAAAAAGCAGGAGGCCATGGAGTTTCACTAGAGCTAATAGTCACAAGCGAGCCATCTAAATCGTTTTCTCTTCACTAAAATCGAGCTGCTTCTGGAGTACCGCCTAATACTGGCCTAACTTAAATCCGGATATTGTAGTAGAGTAAACACCTATTCATCCAGACTTGATCCTGAGATACCTAACGTATATCATGCTTGCACTGAGTCCCCGCACGACACTAACCACCTCTTTACATGCCTCTTAAAACCGACACCCCTTTTACTCCAGTCCGAACCAGTCGTTTTGTAAACACCCCATTAGATGACCTCGATGACTTAGACTGGTCAACCTGTTACAGCAAGCAGCAGACTTTCGCAAGGCTCGTCATCAGACTTCCACTGTATTTCCAACCTTACGGAACGGAATGGTTTTCAGTTCTCAGAGGGAGATGGAAGTGCCGCTAGTAAGCGAGGTTCCGCTCTTCGATACGATCAATTATAATGTGACCAGTACTACTCTCTTTTCACTATTTCGGAGTTCTCTGCGGCGAAAAAGTATCATAGAGAAAAGGTGAGATTCTTTAACGAAGTTTAAAAAACGGGGGTTTTTACTGATCTCGAGTCGAGTTCCCATTCCTCTCAGCAGTTATGAAATTCCCGAGTTGCACTTCCATACCTCGTTATAGTTCTAAACTTCCTCTCAGGCGTGGTAGGAAAGTGTTAAGCGAGACTTCCGACAATCCATAATAAAAATCGCAGATCCATTACATCCTGCATTCATACAACTAGCCAACCACTCGGCACTACCATCTTGGTCACACACTCACTGTCTTTTGAGCGCCACAACAATGCTCTGCCCGGTTTAGCAGCGGTGGAGTGACGAAGGCTTTATTTAGCATGGTGTTGGCGCTGGTCAGGCAAGTGTAATAAATTTTTCGCACCATAAAATTTTTGCGGAAAAATAAAGTACACAACCAGTCAGATGAGGCAGGCAGCCAGGCGACCAAGCAGGCAGCTATCCAATGGCTACTTTTACCCATCCAAATATGTATGACAGTACATAGTGTGAGCATCCTGTGTGAGCTAAGGAAAAAAATGTAATGTCGCCGAGTCAACGCAGCGTAAACTGAAGCAAAAGTTAGTGTTGTTCGTTGAGGATTTATTGTGCACACGCTGATTCCCATTGACTATCGCCAGTCGGCCAGTGTATATCTCTGCTTTTGGAGGCATAGGATTGGCATGTGTATGTGTGTGTGTGTGTGTATGTTTTCGGGTCAATATGGCTATTTGGGGGCATGCCAACGTCAACGCGTTGCAAATTGTTTCGAAATGAAGAAGAGCGTAAGGACGAAAAAGAAAGATTCTGCTGACAGAAAACTTTATTATTTTGACTCCTTTGATGCATCAATGATTTCTATTTCAATTTATGTTTGCATATTAAATGCTGAGCTTGCTTGTTCTAGAGTTTTCTAGCCGGCCCGTAAGAGAAATGTGAATCCTTGCGAGTTGTAGGCTCGGACTCCAAGGACTATCTCTCGTCTTGGAAACTTCAACTTTCGTGAAATCAACCTCAAAGAGAGCTCATCTTCATTCGAGAATTTCGTGCATCGTGAATAGATCAGAGATGAGATTTAGTTCCTCCATTCTCCTCTTCTAACGACGAAGGATAACCTCAAAAAGGTAACGACTAAGCTCCTCTTCTCAGATAATATAATATAACCTGGGTTAGAGCCTTTCTCCAAAGTCAAGTCTTTGGATGGTCATAAGATTTTGATTGGTGTTCTGAGGCTCTTTCAGAAACCCAGTCTTTCATGATTCCATAAATTATACGTGCCACCGCCTGAAATCATAACAGATAACGAGGCTGGGGAGAATCCTTTCCACAGCTCACACATTGTGACATACAATTAAATAGTTTAATTTTTAAGCCACCACATACCGACATCTCACTAATTTCTCTTTCTCCTTGCCTCTTTGCAGATCTCGAGTGCAACGCACACACGCAAATGCCACATAAGCTTGCCATAGCTGAGCACCACTAGTAGAGTGCTTCTTTTTTTGACGAGCTGACCTGTGCAACTCCCCGTGCGGACAACTCTTCGTCTTCTTATTGCGAGACACAACGTCGTTAATTAACACAAGAAATTCCCCGAATACGCGGCGACCTGATGACTATGGCAGAAGGTACCGACCCCATGGGGCATCAGGCGGGCTCCCATCATCACAATCATCACACCCATCACAATCACCACAGCCACCAGCACCAGCATCATCCGCACCAACATCCGCATCAGCGCCACTCGTCATCGGCCCATCCTCATTATGCCCCTTACGCTGCGGCCGCGGCCGCTGCGGCTGCTGCCCACATGCAGTATCCGTTGCCTCAACATTTGCCGTTGGCACTTAGCTTACAACATCAGGCGGCTGCTGCTGCAGCGGCGGCTGCAGTGGCTGCTGAGCATGTGAATAACAACAACAACAACAATCAACCGTTTGTGTCCAATAATAATGTCGTGCCGTGGAAGCAGCGCAAGCGGAAACGTTTGTCGGCGGTGTTGGATAAGTTGCATAATCACAATAACAACAACAATAACAACAACAATAGTAGTAGTAGTAATAATAATAACAGCCACAGCACAACGAACAACAATGGCGGCTTCAATGCAAATGGCAACAACAATAATAACAATAACAATGTTAGTGACTTAAGCAATCACAATCGCAGTCAGGCGGACCGCATGGACGGAACGGATGAGGATGTCGAGAATGAGGCTAATTATAAGAACAACAAAAACAACAACCACGTGAGCTCGAAACGGCAAAACTGCGGCGATGGCGATAGTGGGAAAACGTTAGCGTGTAATAAACGTTCGTTTAGTGAGCTCAGCGCCGACGAAGCGGAAGCATGTGATGCTGAGCCCGAAGCTGAAGTCGATGCGATGTCTGAAGATTTATCGCATGAAAATGATAGTCCTCGTATCAGCATGAGTCCACTGCAGTTGGTCTCAACGCACGACAGTCCGTCCGGTGCAGCTCATCCTACGACTACGGCCGTCACCACAGCTGCATCATCGACACCCAGCGACAATCCGCTGCATGTCGACATTAAGACTGAACACATGCACAATCCCTACGATCGCTACTTTCCCATACCCTCACCACTTTTCGGCTACTATTTGCACACCAAGTATTTGAATGAAGTTTTTCGACGACGTCAAGATCTCTATACATCACCCATGCAGCATACGCCATCGTCAATCGCTTCATCGTTGGCCGACGAGACATCGCCCACTAATTTGCCGCATTCGGGAGCTTACATCGATCATCCACCGCCATTTCCACCAATTTCAACAGCTACGGCACAGGTTGCAGCCGGTGGACCGGGACGTTCCCCACCGCCAGCCGTTACAGTTGCACTACCCTCGCCTCCACGCAGCGACTCGTCTGTGACTACAGCGGCAACAGCGAACAACACCCGCGCCAGCCCCCCGCCTGCTACGCAAGCCAACACATCAGATCCGGCCATTATGCCACCACCACAAGAGCGTCCGTTGGACTTGTCGGTACGCAGTGGAGGCAGTACGCCTACCTATGAACTGTTGGGTGGCAAAAAGTACAAATCGCCCTCGCCACTACCGGCGACCACGCTCATGTTGCCACCAGCACAGCAACCTGTCTCGGCCACAGTAAGCGCCGCCTCCATGTCGCCGAGTAACAGTGAACGTTCGAAATCGACTACAGCCAACAGTGGTGGTCATAGTCACAACAGCAACAGCAACAACCATCACTCACCTTTAGCCAGTTCACCCTCACCCGTTTCCCCGTACGCCGCAGCTGCTGCCGCAGCACATGCAGCCGCCGCCGCTGCCGCTGCTATGATCAAACTCGAAATGCCAATGCATCCATTACATCCACACGCATCTACCACGACCGTAGGCGTGCCCGTGATAAAGGGTGACGTTGCTTCTCCCACAACCAAGGAATCCGTCGCCTGGCGCTACAATCTCGACGTCTCACCGGTGGTGGAGGAAATGCCACCCGGTTCAGATGTGGCTTACGTGTGCCCCGTTTGCGGCCAGATGTTTTCACTACACGATCGTCTTGCCAAACATATGGCATCGCGACACAAATCGCGTAATCCTGCCAACGACATAACCAAAGCCTACTCGTGCGAGGTGTGTGCGCGCTCCTTTGCTCGTTCCGATATGCTAACACGTCACATGCGGCTACATACCGGCGTCAAGCCGTACACTTGCAAAGTGTGCGGTCAGGTGTTCTCACGTTCCGATCACTTGTCCACGCATCAACGCACACACACCGGCGAGAAGCCCTACAAGTGTCCACAGTGTCCGTATGCTGCGTGCCGACGCGATATGATTACACGTCACATGCGCACACACACGCGCTACGAATCACAGCAACGAGGCGGTGGCGGTCCGAGTGCTGGCAGTGAATCAGGTGGTCCATCAAAGTCACCACTACCGCTGCTGAGCGATATGAAAATGAATTTGCCAATGTTGTTGAAGAGCGAGGAGTTGGCCGGTAAATCACCAATGCATAGCGGTATCGGTGGCGGTCTGCCAATAGTTGTGAAGACAGAGAGCGCCTAGTGGCGTCTATGCGCATACAGAGGCTGCAAAACATGATGGCGCACGCGGCGTGTGCTCTCCTATGGAAAGCGAGACGAAATAGCACATACTCCCGCAGAGGACTCAAGTAAGCGATGAAAAAATGTATAAGGTGAACTCGGATTAATTAAGTGCCGTGTGAAGAAGCGTAGACAAAACAGTAAAAGATAAATTTAGTTATTTTAAATTTGTTTTGAAAATCTCTTTGTGAAGACTGAGACTAAGTTAAGCATAACAATGAATTTAAGCATAATATTTGATTACCTAATGCGCAGGATGGAGGACAGATTCGTAACAGTGCAAGCTAACAGAATGCGGTTACAAAAATTTAGATATGAACAGCTGATAATGGTGTGGAGAAAGATGAAGAAAGCTTTCACTTAAGCTTTGGTTATTTAACAAACTTTTTTGTCAAAGCTTTGAACTAAAAAGTGAAGCTGTCGTCTCGTAGAACCTTAAAATATAACTCAAAATTTTTTGTGAAAGCTCTGGTCAATGTTTTCTTTTTCTATTTTACAGCTCAATTTTATTATTGCACTTGAAAAGCTATGAGGTATCACAATTTTTGTGAAAGCTTGCGAGAATTTCATTTTATATAAAATACATCTAATAACTGCTTATTTTAAATTAGTGAAGCTGCGATTTTCGGAAAAATCAAATATCATTTAAACTACTTTGTGAAAGCTTCGAAAAGCTTATAAATAAATTAATTTACTTTACTAACAAACTTTTTCAGCAGAGCTTAAAATTTCGGTTTCTTTTTGTAAAAACTTTTAAAATATTTTTTCAAATTTCTTGCTGAAAAATTGGTTTAGCTTAAAATGCGCTTTCACTAATATATAAATTAAGCTTTTTGTGAAAGCTTATGGAGACTGTTATCTTGTTTTTAATTAAACTTTGTTTTATGGAACTTTATTTCAATTCCTATAAAGTCAATATTTTACTTTAACATTTTTGGTGAAAGCTCTGAATAATATTTATTTGTAATTCACGATAGTTTAACGAAACTCCAAAAAGAATTTCTTTTTATCTTAGAAAAATAAAATATCACCTAAACTTTTATATGATTTCATGCTAACAAATTTGCAAATTTCAATATGAATTCGACTTTTTTGTGAAAGCTTAAGAAAGTTTATCTCTTTAGTGAAAGTTAAAACTTTTTGCTGCAGCTAATTTTCGATTTTCGTGAAATAAAATTCTCAAGAACTTTCGTAGTTCGGAGTTTTCGGAATTTATAACAACTTTGGCGCAAGCTTTCACTTTTTTCCAATACTTTTCAGTTAAGCGCTCTTGCTCTCACACTATTATCAGCCGTAGTTGTATTGAGACCAAATTTGATATTTTTTTAAATTAAATATGATTATAAAATTTAACTTTTAAGACAAATGGTTGTGAACAGCAAATCAGCATTGATTAATTTTTCTCAAGAGCACAAGCATTTTTTTCAATCTTCCTCATTCTCCCTCGTTCTCTTATAAGCACATTTAAAGCAAAACAAACAAATAATGTAGACAATTAAGAGATTATTGACATCGTACACCGTTAGGGTACTTTTGTAATTTTAATTTAAATAATCATTTAATATTTAATTAAAAAGCGGCTAATTGGATTTCATTAGTTTTATAATTTAATTTAAACAAATTAGTATTTATTTATTTCGTACATACATACATTCGTGTATATATTATAGTTTGCATGCATGTAAAAAAAAAATGTAAAATCATTTTCAAAACCCACAAATTAATTTTAAGCATAATTTTAGATGAAAAACAAAATTCCCAACTGAATTGAATTTAAGTTTAATTTATTCTAATTTATTTAAGCTGCTTAAAATTTAAGTTACACAGATATACATACATACTAGTACATACATACATATTAACTATTATTTATTACTATCTAGGTAAATAAGCGCACACACAATTTTGTATTAACTATTTATTATTATGTGCAAGGAAAATGAAGCGACAAAAGACAAAGATAAATTTCTAATTCTCTACTCTCCTCTCTCACTGAAAAGGGAAGCAACAAAGCGGGAAGGCGACAAAAATTCCTAAACTTAATTTAATATAATTTAATTTAATTATGCATTTCTTTTTGTATTATTTTATTTATTACTTAAACATAAATTAACTACTTTTTTCTAATTCATTAAATGAAACAAAAGTTTTCTCTCTCTCTCACTCTCACTCTCACCCTCTCACTCTATAAATCAACATTTCTCTCCCTTTTGAACATTGCAAGTTGTTTGAAAAGTATAACGTTTTTATTGTTTTTGTTTTAACGTTGAAAAAAAGCAAATGAAGACAAAAACAAAGACATTTTCAGTCAATACTACTTTTTAAGTATTTATTAAAAAATGTTGCAAGTCTTTTTTGCTAAATTGTTTTTTTTGGTATTTTTTAAAAAATTCTAATTTTACAAAAATTATCATTGTTTTGTTACACCAAAAATTTTTCAAAATAACTTTAATTAATTATTAATATTAATTATTATTAAAACTGTTTTCAAATTTATTATCTTTATGTACACACACACACACACACACACACTTATGTTTTCTATGAAATCTGTTGAATTTTTATTGTTCGTATTGAATTTAATACGAGTTGAAATGTTTAGGCGTTTTTGTTTAAGTTTTTCCACTATTATACACATACATACATACATATAAGTTTCTATAAAACACTTTTTGTAAGCATACATACATACATAGAAATATGTATGTCATCGCTTTTACCTACCTGTTAATTTATGTTAATTTTTAATGAAAACAATTTAATTTGAATTTTCTTTGTTTAAGCTGTTATTTATTAAAACTTTGCATGTAAGGATTTTAGTAATAAGATTTTAATTTTTAATAATTTATATATGAAGAAAATAAAAGAACACAACAACACTTGGTTATGATTATTTTGTAATTTGCTTTTGTTTTTATAAAAATAAATGAATAAATAAAATGAAAAAATCAAATTTTGCATTGAAGAAAAAACAGAAAATTGAGTTTATTTTCATTTCGAATTTCATCTAGTCACAAATTAGGCACATGTGGGCAAATGCCTGAATGCTTACAGATTGCTTATCATACGATGATTTTAGAATATGAGCATTTTTTTATTGCTTTGTTATTATACTTTTATTTTTATTTTCTTTAATTTTTTTTTTGCTTTTAGGTTTTAGGTGGATCGTGTGTAAAATATTTTCTCAAAATATTTTTCGTAAAAACATTTTTTTTTTGTTTATGTTAAAACCTCAAAAACGCATCGTTACGTTAGGTTTAAAATACCCCGCTGCTAAAGTATTAACAGCGCACTTCAATATAAACGTTTAACATTAGCTGTTAACGATTTAACATAAACGACAGCATGGCATTCAGGGCAGAGATGATCAAGTAATTAAACAATGCCTTCCGTTAGGTTAGGTGGCGTCATTTAAACGAAACAAATAAAAATATTTTAGGTTGAAACCATACAAGCTCATCATAATGTTAATACTATGCTATGATGTAAACAGCATACTTCCATTTCAGCCTTTAACATTAGCTGTTAACGATTTAACATTAACGAGAGCTTCGAGTAAACTGCTTTAATGGTAACATTTCTAAATGTTTCAACTGAATCGATTCCAATTTTTGAACATCTTTTTTGATGCAATTTTTTTTTGTTTCGGCGTTGCATTTTATGCTAGCGAACAAATCATTAAGAACTTGAGTGCTGTTTAAGTTTTATTTTTTAATTTCCTTTTCAATAAGATTCCCACTTGCAAATTAACAGAAATGTTGAAAATAAAAGCCACAGTTGACTAAAGAAAATACGTAAATATCTGTCATGTGAACACGACTCTATGGATGGAACAATATTTAAAAATGAAAACTGGGAAAACAAAATTTTGACGATTTCCTTCGTCAGCCACTCTGCCTCCTAACAAACCGAGTAATGATCCACTTATAAAGGGTATCTAATTTTTATTATATAACAAAAGTTGTATTTAATACAAATTGTTTAGCATATACATAGGTACGTGTATGTACATTATGAGAGACCTAAATTGTATAGACTCTCTGGATGAGATATTAAAGTTAAACTCGATAAATATAAAAGCCACGCTTGGAAACACCGAGGCTAGTAGTTTGAGATAACAAGCGGATGTGGAAGCTAAATGTAGAGAAAAGAGTCAAAAAGTTGTCCTATACGAGTTGTCTCATAAGCTCACGCACTGGTGATATGCATCGGAGCAACTACAACGGCTCGCTTCAATGAGCCACTCACTGTTTCCCACTGTGTTTGCTCGGTAGCTCGGTCACACGGTTAGACGGCTAAAGACAGGGCAACTAACATGTAAGCGATAATTAATGTGCAGTGGAGGCAGACGCGCTAACGCGGCACTTGAAAGTTGAATTGACTTTACACCAACCGACGTCGAGAGACACCTGCAGTGAAATCCGCCATGAGATTCAAGGAATCGAAGAAAAGTATACCACATACCACCGTGCTTCATCTGGAAAAGAAGTCTTCACGTTACGATTAAAGAGAGCGGTTGATGCAGGATCATGCAATCCGCAAGTGGAAGGTATAACATCTAAAGGATTCCATCAAAAATGGCTGATGGAGTGCGCAGAGCTGGACCTTAAATAACCATTCAAACTTCCACTGTACTGCAACACTTTTCAGGCGGAAGACGTCGCTGCTGAAACTATTTCAAGGACACAAGGTATGTGACGATAGCCAGATGGTAATATTCTCACATCGAGTTGCGTTGGAAAATGTCCTTACAGGCAGGAAAGCGGTAGACAGGGGGCCTAGGACGGACGACTGCTGATGTAATGGGTTCCAGGCCACACAGGCTTACGGTCTCATCCGACGGATTCTTTTGCGTGACCCCGTCATAACGTATAAACGTGCTTTCCGGGGCTCACAGGCACGTTTTTATAAGACTCATACCGGCCCTTTCACAGAGAATGAGTCCGCTTCTTTTGTGGTGCATAAAAAAATTCAGCCTGAATTCAGAAGAGAGAGAGAGAGAGAGTAGAGAGTTGTCAAAGCCAATTTGGCCAACAAGTGAAAATGGCTGCCATAAATTGCCACCGCAAAGAAATAACCACAAATCAAAATAAAAGCAACAAAAAGAAAGTAAAAAAAGAAACAAGAAGAGAATTTTGTAAAAAATTACGCTAAAGCCGAAAAACGCGTAAAGTGATAAAGTTCACAAGCGCAACGGTTGCGGCGTTGCTCGTTTAGATTTATGTCAAATTGTCAGCGGTGCAACAATGAACCATGCAACCGCTGCGGAAAGCCTGGTGGGGTAGTGACGCCAACTACTAACCGTTATACCGGTACTTTATGCTTTCATGTCACAAGGGATATGCGCGTGAAACAAGTTGCTACTGTTGTTGCAGTCGCTGGTGTTGCCATATGGGTGACCGAATGATGCATTTGCCACCAAAAGCTGCAACAAATGATAGATTACGAAAAATAGTTGTTGCTGCACGGCTACTGCAACGCCGGATTAGACATAATGGACACTCGACAATGTGCAACTGCATTTTGCCAAAACAAAAACAATAACAATGAGCGCTTAAATTTAGACACAAAAGATGACTCTCTGCTGTTGGTGTTGCCTGCTGTTGCATGTCGCAGGGATTTCGGTAGACACACTAGCCGCACTTTATTGTTTTGCGATTTTATGTGACAGTTTGTGTTTCTGGGTGCCGCGGCTTTCAATCATTGTGCCACATAATTGACTAATTTCGCGCTCCGGTCGTGTGCAAGTCTCAAGCTATCAAATGCCCTGAACAAGTGTGCCATTCACTTTTTCCCACTGTGTTTGTTCGGTGGCTCGGTGGCTCGGTCACTCGGTTAGGCGGCTAAATGCAGAAGAACTATCTGGTGAGCCATAATTAATGTGCAGTGGAGGGAGGCGCTTTTAATTGGCTTGTATCTGCATATTCGGGTATGCGCGTCTGTTCATTTGTGTGTTGACACAAACTCTGTAATCTAGTCATTTACGGTACTAATTTCACATTTCACATTTTAAGGGACAGTACGAGATAATGATAATTCCAAGCGAACTGAAGTTTTTTAAAAGTTTTAATGTGAAACCATGTCATTTTCCACTTGAGCCTTCCAACGGAATGGAGTGGAGGTCTCTCCCTCTCTCTTCATCTGCTTCCTATAGCGGGTACAGCATTGAGTACTTTCTAAGCTGGAGTGCTTTCATCCATTCGGATGACATGACCTGAAGCCAATGCGCAAAGGACCATAAATCGCTCGCAAAATTTTTCTCTTGAAAACCCCCAGCGCCGACTGGCTTCAGCGCCATTTAGTAGGATGGCACTGATGAGGGACTTGTAGAGTTTTTGTTCATCGCGAGAGGATTTTTTGCCTTGTCTTGCAGGTTTTTTATGCTCCCTAACATCAAATTTAAGAAATTGCGTGGTAAACACTGTCGGAAACCCCAATTGGTACGCAATGGCTCGGAGAGGTCCTTATCATTTCTGACTACCCGGACTGTTAAGCGGTAATATCAAGCGGCGTAGATTTTCCTCTTCTTGTACTATCGAAGGTGTCTTTAAAAGGCTGCAAAGGTGATGTGTGCT